ACGGTGGCGGGGGGCGGGCGCGGTCAGGAGGTGCCCTCATTAGGGCAAACCTGCCGTAGTTTGCATAAAGCGGAAGTTGGGGGCGTGGAGAGACACCTACCGCAAGAAGTTTGCCGTGCGGCGCGGCGGCGCGCGGGACCCGCCGTGGCCCGCCGTGGCCCGCCCGCCCCGACGTTTACGCGCTCATTGGCCGTTTTGGGCTGTTTTGTCTGTGTTTGCCCCCGTTTCCTCTCGGCTGCCTCCCGGCGCACCGACTCGCCCCAAGTCTCGCCACGCCCCGCCACACCCCGCAACACCACGCCACCACGCCCTGCCACACCCCGCCACGCCCCGCCCCGCCACGCCCGCCACGCCACAGCTTTCTTGCCCCACCGCCTGCTACCTTCGTTTCGCAATCACCCTCTGGCACCTCCCCCCCCTCCCTCCCCGCGCCTCACCGTGCGCACGCACAAGCACACAACTCTTCCCCAGCATCGTTCACCCGGACACCACCACCCGCCCCACCCCACCTGCATCCCCACCTGCGCCCCAGCTGCCCGGGGGGTGAGGAGAAGGGGGGTGGGCGGCGGCGGCTCTCGCCGGGGGACAAACTTGAAGGGTCGGCAGTATGGCACTCGCGGCTCCTGCTTTATAACTCTGCTGTCCGTACCATGTACGCCCGTCTGAGTGTCCGTCCGTCTGTCCGTCCGTCTGTCCGTCCGCACACCAGCCACGTCCGCAGCCACTACCAGCCCGGGGCGCGCGTTGCGCTGACCGCTCAAAGCCCCGCTTTCCGCGTTGCTTCGAGGGCTTTGAGGGCAGGCCAAGACGATTGGGGGCCAACAGTCTGCTCGAGGGGCGGCGCGGGGGCGACCCATATGGCAGGCCGGGCCGCCCCTGACCTGAGCGGGGGCGGCATCGTATGGCGGCGGAGACGGGGAGTCCTTCACGAGCGGTTAGCCCCAGAGTGGTGGTGCGGAGGGAGGGAGGGAGGGAGGGAAGGAGGGAGGTGGAGAAAGGAGGGAGAGACGGCGCGGCGCTCTTGTCTGCCGCTGGCAAGAGGCTGCTGGCCAATCGGAGCAAGGGGTTGGGGTAGGGGCTGGGGGATGGAAACCGCATCCGCACACCCACGCGCGCGCGCGCGCACACACACACACTGCAGTAAAGCTATACGTTCCTTTTTTCTGCAGAAAATAGCGTAATAGCATCAGGCGGGCGAAATTGAGAATTGCGTGTGTGTGTCTGTGTGTGTGTGTGCGCGCGCGCCCGCATGTGTATGTCTTGTTGTAATGCCGGCGGCGCCATCGCAGGCATTCTTTCTTCCTTAGACAGTTTTACTAACTATAGACGGCGCTCGCGTGTGTTGTTTGCAGTGGTGAAGCAGGACTACGACGTGCAGGTGTACGACGAGCACGTGGTGGCGGGCAACACGGCCGCCCTCAAGTGCCACGTGGCGCCGTACGTGGCCGAGTACATCATGGTGACGTCGTGGGAGGTGGACCAGGTCAACCTGTACCCGAGCACGGACGTCGGCGGCAAGCACCTGGTGCTGGCCAACGGCGACCTCTACATCCAGGACGTGAGCCCGTCGGACCGGCACCGCGCCTACACGTGCCGCACGCTCCACCGCCTCACGGGCCAGACCCGCGCCAGCCCGACCCCCGGCAGAGTCATCATCACTGGTGAGCCCCGACAACCACCCGACCCGCCACGCCAAACCAAAGAAGAGAGACCCTTTTGTCTCGTTTTGCTCATAACTTGATTTTGCTCTTCCCCCCGGCAGAGCCCAAGGGCAGCGCGCAGCTCCGCCTCACCGTGGAGAAGCACCAGAGCGTGCTCGCCAAGGTGGGGGAGGACGCCGTGCTGCCGTGCCTCGCCCAGGGCCACCCCGTGCCCAGCTACAAGTAAGACGACCGTGCTTCTTTTGTTCCTCTTTTCCTCACTCGGTGGCTGCGGCGGGCGCCTTGCTCTTTCTCTCTCGCCCGACATTTAAGCTTGTCAGACAAAAACGGGGGCAAATGGGGGAGAAGAGAGAAAAGAGAGAGCGAGCCGCAGAGAAGGAAGCCAATTTATCTGGTGCGGGTGGCAGAGCTGCGCAGAGCTGTGTGACTGACGCCGCGAGGAAACCCTCTGCTCAACAGGTGGCACCGCGAGGAGCGGCAGAGGGGAGCCTGCAGCTGCAGCCGCTGCAGATGGACGAGCGTGTGGGGCTTCTGGCCTCGGGGCTGCTGCGGCTCAAGAAGGCGCGCCTTGATCTGTGACTGACTGACCCCCCTCTGCTGACAGGTGGCATCGCGAGGAGAGGCAGGGGCGCCTGCAGCTGCAGCCGCTGCAGCTGGACGATCGCGTGGGGCTGCTGGCCGCGGGGCTGCTGCGGCTTAAGAAGGCGCGCCTCTCGGACGCCGGCCAGTACGTCTGCACCGTGTCCAACAGCGCGGGCGAGGAGACGGTGCACGTGGCGCTGACGGTGACGGCGCCGCTGTCGGCGCACGTGTCGCCGCCGTGGCAGGAGGTGTCGACGGGGTCCGAGGCGCTGCTCGAGTGCAGCGTGGCCGGCCAGCCCGTGGCGCGGGTGCAGTGGCTGCGCGACGGGCTGCCGCTGCAGCCGAGCCCGCGCGTCTCCATCACCACGGCGCCCGCGCCCTCGGCCGCGCTCGGCGGCGCCGGCCCCCAGCGCCACCCGGGGCCGGGCGTGAGCCGCGTCAAGCTGACGGGCGTGGGCAAGGAGGACCGCGGCATGTACCAGTGCGTGGCCAGCAACGACCGGGACATGGCGCAAGGCACGGCCGAGCTCAAGCTGGGCGGTGAGTTCCACAAGGCGCGCACGAGGGGGTGGAATACATAAATTTGACCCCCCCCCCTTACCCCCTCAGGGCCGCCGCCGTGCAGCCAGCCATCTCCCTCCTACTGATTGGGCCTTGTCCAAAAAAAGGGGTGGGCCAATAAATCCCCTGTCGAATCGGCCCAGCAAATATCGGCATTCCGAACTCTTTTTACTTCCCCCTGCACCGCCTAGCGGAGCGCGCGCACCCCCATCCCCATCTCTTTCCCCCCAATCCATCCCTCGGGTCCTTCTCGCTCGCGTACGCGGTCCGTTCCCGCTCAGCGAGACTGTGGGAGGCGGGCCACCAGCGTGGGAGCAACTTTGTGGTCAGCGCAGCCCTCCTCCTCCTCCTCCTCCTGCCCCGCCCTTACCCTCGCTACGCGCTGTGACTTGCGCTTCTGTTGCTTTTCTCTCCCCAGCGGGGCTTAGCTCCGCGGAGATGGCGGGTCTGAGATAGCTCAGCCTGGCAGCCGCTAGCCCGTTCCCCGCCCCGCCCCGCCCCGCCCCGCCCCGCCGTACTCGCACTGCGCCCCGCACCGCTCAGTCCCTCACTGTTGCTTGCAGACGCGGTGCCCGAGCTCGTGTACTCGTTCTCGGAGCAGACGCTGCAGCCCGGGCCCGCCGTGTCCCTCAAGTGCATGGCGGTGGGCATCCCGCCGCCGCAGTTCTCGTGGACGCTGGACGGCTTCCCGCTACCGGAGAGCCCGCGCTTCCTCGTCGGCCAGTACGTGACCATCCACGACGACGTCATCAGCCACGTCAACATCTCGTACGTCAAGGAGGAGGACGGCGGCGAGTACACGTGCACGGCGAGGAACTCGGTGGGCAGCAAGTCGCACTCGGCGCGCGTCAACGTCTACGGCAAGCCGTACATCCGGGAGATGCCCAGGATCACGGCGGTGGCGGGCAAGGACCTCGTCATCAAGTGTCCCGCGGCCGGCTACCCCATCGAGAGCATCAGCTGGGAGCACAGTGAGTGTCCGTGGTCGTGCCAGCGTGGAGTCGCCGCAGCCCAGTGTGCAATCCAAATTTTGATCGATGACGTCAACCTTGGTGCAATATCAACGTCTTGCCCGTCTTGCCCTTTCTACAGACGGCCAAGCGTTGCCCTCGTCGCGTCGCCAGAAGGTGTTCCCCAACGGCACCCTCCTGGTGCAGCAGACCCGTCAGGGCGAGGACCAGGGCACCTACACCTGCCAGGCCGTCAACAGACAGAAGCACTCGGCCCGGCGGGACGTCGAGGTCGCCGTCCAGAGTAAGTTAAATTCCGAGGGGAATACTCGACCCAGACTGTCGCTTAAAGGTCGCACAGCAGTAGAAGTTGTTGGGGGAGGGGGGGGGTGAGTTGAGTTGTTGTCTAAGCCCGTCCCGTCGGATCCTCCGCACACTTGCAACGCAAGTGTGTGAATGTCGCACACTTGTAGGTGTGTGAATTCCTACTCGTACACTTACGGAAGTAAAGGTGGGAATTTTTCTTCGAAGCTCACACTCTTGTGTCTCTACGTGTACGAATGGCCTTCACACACCTACAAGTGTGCGACATTCACATACTTGTGCATATCACTGTATACGAATGGCGTTCACACACATACAATTGTACGACACTCACACACTTGGGTTTCCCACCTGCAGTCCCGCCCCGCATCCTGCCCACGCTGCCGCTCAACCTGAGCGAGGGGATGCGCGCCGCCATCAGCTGCCAGATCCTGGAGGGCGACCAGCCCGTCGGCTTCCGCTGGGAGCGCGACGGGCGGCCGCTGCAGGCCCAGGACGGCGCCTACACGCGCCGCCACGACGAGTTCTCCTCGGCGCTCATCATCGAGCGCGTGGCCGCCAAGCACACGGCCAACTACACCTGCATCGCGAGCAACGTGGCGGGGCCCGACCGCTTCACCGTGCCGCTCATCGTCAACGGTCAGTCACACACAACGAACGATAAAATCTTCCAGTCATGGAAAACAAACATTAGCCAAACAGCTAAACCAATAGCTAAATACGGTATAACTAATGATTTAGCTACCTAAAAATATTTAGCTATTTCGCTAGAAATCTAGCTACATAGCTAAACATTTATCTTCATAGATAACAGTAGCAATTTTTACCAACATTGCTGAACAATTAGTTATTCCGTATTTAGATGTTGGTTAAGCTACACAGCTAGCTCGTCATTTTTCCCGTGAGGTCATCGTAGTTTATTAATTTAAAATATGGCCTGTGCATGCTGGTTGTTTAAACGTGTCGCTGCCTGGTTTTTGATCGGAACTTGTTTCCTCTGCAGTGCCGCCGCGCTGGCTGGTCGAGCCGGTCGACACGAGCGTGTCGGCGGGCCAGGACGTGTGGCTGCACGCCGAGGCCGAGGGATCGCCGCCGCCCTCGGTCCTGTGGAAGAAGGCGGTGCCCGGCATACCCGGCGAGTACCGCGACCTCGCCCTGTTCGACCACCACGTCAACCTGATGCCCAACGGCACGCTGCACTTCGTGCGCGTCTCCAAGGAGAGCGAGGGCCACTACATGTGCGAGGCCGGCAACTCGGTCGGCTCCGACGTCAGCAAGGTCGTGTTCCTCAAAGTGAACGGTTAGTAGAGAGCGGGTTTGTGGACTAAAATTATCAAAGATCTGGGAAGATAGAGAATTGGACAACGAAATAAGTAAGGAGTTACACCGTTAGAAAAAAATAACTTTGCCACCAAGAAGGACTGTAAAAGTTTCTCGATCAATACAAAGGTCTTTTTTCCCACTTTCTCGTTACTCATGTTTTTTTCTTCATCATTATTTTCCTGCGCAGCGCCCGCGCACTTTCCGACCAAGTGGCGCCAGGTGCAGGTGGCCAAAGGGGAGGCCGCCCGCCTGCAGTGCGCCGCGCAGGGGGACCCGCCTATCGACATCCAATGGCGCCAGGCCGGACAGCGCCTGGCCGTCGACACGGACCACAGGTGAGCGGGGAAGGGGAACGGGGCCGGCGGGGCCCGGGGAGGGCGTTGAAGCTGTAATGGAAATTGGGGGAGGAGTGGTGGGGGGTCAGAAGGGTGGGCGAGTTGGGCCTGTAGCGGAGGAAGGGACGCGCACGGGTTGGAGGGGCTCACAAGTTGACAGGAGTGCGGGTGGGAAGGGGGTAAGGGGCGAGGCTGAAGGGGGCGCCGAGCGATGGCGGGTACATGTGTGCACTTTCTAGTATATACACGGCACTAGATGGGAAGCAAGCTCTGGGAGGGAAGGGCAGGTGGGGTGGATGAAGGAGTAGTGGCCCCCGGGGGGAACGGGGAGAAGGGGGAGTGCGGGCGGAGTTTTGGAGGAAAGAAAGGGGGAGGGTGGAAGGGAGAGGGGAGCGCCACGCGGGAAGGGGAGCCGGGAGCAGAGGATGAGGGGGCTCTAGGGTTGACGGCCTCCCCCTCCATCAAGTGTGTGTAACCTAAACCCGGCCGCGCGCTGTGCTGTGACGCCTCCCCCACCCCCACCCCCACCCCCAGCCCGAGCGCTGAGACAGCCGTCCAACCCATTCCGCTCTCGTCGAGGAGAACGACGCAGCCCTGTCCCATCACGTCAGGATGCTGGTGGATGGCAGCTGTATGGACCGTGGCAGGCAGAGACAAGACAGAAAGGAAATATGGCTCGACGCACTCGACGCCGCCGCCTCGCCGCTGGCTGGGCACGTTATCATTTTATAGCACGCCGAGGCGGTGTGGCTGCTCAAAGCGACTTCTTCGAGGCGTGATTGATAAGAAGCAGTTCAGTAACCAAGGTTTCGGTTTGGGGGGGGGGGGTCCAAATATTATGGGGACACAAAAAGATCAGGACGATCATTGGAGTCCATAGAGAACAACGGGTACCCCGGGGTACGAATATCATTGGCCCCTCTGGACTCTCATGACCGCCCCGCCCCGATCATTTAATAAGTCCACGAGGTTTCTTAACCTGAACGGGCCCTAAAGCGCCAGACTGGCATTGACGTGTTGGTTGGTTCGTCCTGCAGACTCACGCTCCGGGAGCAGCCCAAGGACGCCGGCCACGTGTCCGAGCTCACCATCGAGCGCGCCACGCGGCACGACACGGCCACCTTCAGCTGCACGGCCAGCAACGCCTACGGCCAGGACGAGATGACGATCCAGCTGGTGGTGCAAGGTAAAACACTGGAGAAAAGAGAAGGAAGAAAGGCGTCATGTTTTCCGCTGTGGGTTTTGGTCGTGGTGATTTTGAGACCTGCATCGTGTCCTCCGCGCAGAGGTCGCCGAGATGCCGCAGAACGTGCGCGTCACGGAGCAGCAGAGCCGCAGCGTGCAGCTGTCGTGGCCGCCGCCCTACTCGGGCAACTCGCCCATCTCCGCCTACGTTCTGCAGTACAAGCTGGTGGCGGGTGAGTGTCGTCGCGCAGGCCCTTCACAGCCCCCCGCTCGTTGGCCTCCCACACGCTAAGGGGTCGTCCAGAAAGTACGCCCTGCCCAGTTCAGGCCACTGCATGCTCTCATAACGCCTGGTAGGTAGGCAACATCTTGCCTGCTGTGCATGCGCGTACTGCGGGTTGGCCTACCATGAGTCTGACAGGCGACGAGTTCTCATAATTTGCCGGATGAACCTTGTGAAAAACGGACTTACTTTCTGGACGATCCGGGACGATCCCTAACCCGACCTCTCGGTGCCGCAGACCCCTGGCCGTCCAACCCCATGCGCATGGCCGTGTCGGGCTCGCAGGCCAGCGCCACGCTGAGCGGACTCAGCCCCGCCACCTCCTACCACGTGCGCATCCTGGCCGAGAACAGGCTGGGCCTGAGCGAGCCCTCTGAGGCCATCCAGGTCACCACGCAGGAAGAGTGTAAGTAGCTAAGCGAATCATAGGAATAAACAGTTGACGAACAAAATATTTTTAATAGATCTAGCGTTTTCTGCTCACGCCATAATTTGAAAGATTCGTTTTTCCCCCGCGGCCCACAGCGCCTAGCGGCGCCCCGCAGGCGGTGCGCGCCGAGGCACGGTCGAGCACGGAGCTGGTGGTCACCTGGGAGCCGCCGCCCCGCGATATGTGGCACGGCTCGCTGCAGGGCTACTACGTGGGCTACCAGCAGGTGTTCCAGCTGACGCAGATGGCGGGCACGGACCGGCCCACCCGGGACCAGTACATGCTCAAGACCGTGGAGGTGGGCTCTCAGTACGGAGGGGAGGCGTCGCTCATCGGGCTGGCCAAGTAAGCAGTCCACGCTAAGTCATATATTAGTAAATTTAACTTCCGGAAAACGTATTTTTGGGAAATTTTTCAACTTTTTGGGGGGGATTTTGAAATCGGTTTATATGACTGATAACGTCTATTTTTACGTCGTTTTGGACGTTCTTTTGATCGACCCGTGCTTTTCTCTTCTAGATTCACGACGTACAACGTGGTGGTGCAGGCGTACAACAGCCGGGGCGCGGGCCCCATGTCGGAGCCCGTGACGGTGCGCACCATGGAGGACGGTAAGCCCCGCTGCAAAGCCTTTTCAGCCAAACTTTTGCCGCCTACCTCGACACTCACCCGGTTTCGCTTCGCAGTACCATCCATGCCGCCCGAGAAGCTCAACTGCAGGCCCACGTCCACGCAGGAGCTCCAGATCCAGTGGCAGGCGCCGCCGGAGGAGGGCCGCAACGGCGACCTGCAGGGTTTCAAAGTGCTCTTCCGGCCGGTCGAGGAGTGGTTCGGTGAGCTCCCTCCCCCTCCCCTCGGCCGACTGCGTTCCGCGTCGTGCTGATTCACCTCACTCAGCACTTATTCTGCCCGACAGATAAAGAGAGCCCTGAGGTGAAAACGACCTCCTCCACGTCCACCACGCTGCCGGGACTGCTCAGCTTCACCAACTACAGCATCATCGTGCTGGCCTTCACCGGGTCCGGGGACGGCGTCAGGACGCCGCCGGTGTTCTGTCGCACAGAGGAGGACGGTGAGTGTGCACGCCCGGGCCAACCGGTGGACGAGGCAGTCGAGCGATGGTCGTTGTGCTCAACCTAGGCATTCCCCTGCACAGTGCCCTCGGCGCCGGCGGACATCAAGGCCCTGACGGCCTCGGCAAACACGGTGCTCGTGGCGTGGCTGCCGCCGGCCAACCTCAACGGCGTCCTCATGGGCTACACCTTCTACTGGAACTACGTCCGGGACGACGGCAAGGAGGGCTCGACGCACACCGTGCAGCTGGGCTCGCAGACGGAGACGCACGAGGTGCAGAGGCTGTCGCCCAGCTCCACGTACCGGTTCTGGGTGACGGCCAGCACGCGCGTGGGCGAGGGCGAGCCAAGCAAGATAGCGTCCGTCAGGCCCAACGGCAAAGGTGCGTCAGCGCGGTGAAGATGCCGCGTCAGGGATCCGAACTCGTGCCAACTAGTCCTGCATATATAATCTTTTTTTCCCTGCCGCAGTCCCCGCGCGCATCGCGTCCTTCTCGAGGACCCTAGTTACGCCCTGGAAGCGCAACGTGTCCCTGGCGTGCGCGCACGTCGGTACCCCGGCGCCCCAGGTCGGCTGGAGGTTCAACCAGCGGCCGCTCGAGTCCTCCGGCAGGGTGCAGGTGAACGCGGGCGCGCTGCTCGTCCGCGACGTGCAGCACTCGGACGAGGGCAACTACAGCTGCACCGTGGAGAACGCGCACGGCCAGGACGACATCACGTACTCGCTGGTCGTGATGGTGCCGCCCGGGCCGCCGGCGCTCGCTATCCTGGCCACGGACGCCGACAGCCTGCACCTGCAGTGGACGGACAGCGAGCCCGGCGTCCCCGTCCTGGGTGAGTGGGGGCCGCCTGGGAGGTGGGCGCGCCCGTGGCGCAGGCGTGCGCTGCGGGTCTGCCTACCCTACGGACCGCAGGCGCTTTCCCGGCTGCAGCCGAGAGTCAGCTCAAAGCTTTGACTTTAATGAAGCTGTTTAAAAACTAAGCTGATTAACTGAAATCTGCGCTCTCTGCTCTTGCAGGCTACGTCATCAACTACAAGCGCGACCACGGGGACTGGGAGGAGCTGCAGCTCGAGTCCAAGGTGGACAGCTACGTGCTGCGCGGCCTGCTGTGCGGCAACCGCTACCAGCTCTACATGACGGCGTACAACCGCATCGGCACGGGGTTGCCTTGCGACATCGTGCACACGGCGACGCGCGGCTCGGTGCCGGTCACGCCCAGCCAGGCGGCCCTGCTCACCGTCAACTCGACCGTGGTCACGCTGTGGCTGGACGCGTGGGCGGACGGCGGCTGCCCCATCCAGTACCTGATCGTCGAGTACCGCGAGGTGGAGGGCGACCCGTGGCAGCTCGTCTCCAACCACGTGCTGCCCTCGGAGCGCGCCCGCTCCGTCGCGGACCTCACGCCGGGCTCGCGCTACCAGCTGCGCGTCACGGCGCACAACAGCGCCGGCTCGGTGTGGGCCGTCTACAACTTCACGACGCTGTCGCTCGCGGGCGGGCCCCTCCCGCAGCCGCCGGACGACGACTTCCCCGCGACGGCGGACGAGGACGCGGGCATGTCCGTCAACTTCCGGGTGCTGCTCCCCATCGTCCTGTGCTCGGCCACCGTCATCATGCTCGCCTACGCCGGCATGCACATCGGCAAGAGAAGTGAGCACCGTGTGTGGCCGCACCACCGCGCCAAGTACACCCCGCCGCGTCTCGAAGCTGCCTCGGCTGCCTCATATGTGTTGCTTTAATGGTTGCCTTCCCCTTCCAGAGCTGCGACAGCGCGCCTCGTCGCCAGAGGTCATGCCCCCCATGTTCGGCGGCTTTGGCGGCTCCCACGTCCCCCTGCGTAGGGGCCCCGGGCCGGGCCCTCCGGGCGCCGTGGGTGAATCGCCGAGCCTGGCGCAGCTGCAGAACCAGCAGAATAGGGACCAGCACTACCTGGCTCTGCCCGGCGCCAAGTACTCCGAGCCCAGCACCTACAAGACTGTTGAGTCGTCTGGTGAGCGCCCCTCCCCCGCTCTCTCCCCGCAACACTGCAGCAGTGGAGGCGGTCCAGCTGACGCTCCTCTCTTTGCTCCCAGACTACATCAAGGACATCTGCCCCTACGCCACGTTCCAGCTGAACGCCACCGGGCCGGCCTCCAAGGCGTACAGCGACGCGGGGTCAACGTGCTCCTTCTCCGGCAACATCTACTCGGGGCCGTACCACTCCGTGCGTGGCTCCTTCGTCTACCACGACGGCACGGCCGGTCCGGCCGTCGACACCTACAAACTGAGACATGTAAGCTATTCCCCGGCTTTGTTTTCTACCTCTTTTGATAATCAGCAGTTTTTTTGTTTTTTTTTTTTTGTTTTTTTCAAAAACTCTCGTTTTTAATTTGTTACCTTACGTCTGCTTTGCCAGAAGGAGCCCGAGTACACCAAGGTTCGACGGAAAAAGAGTAAACTCCGCGACCCTCACTCGGAGAGCCAAGGTGAGCTCGGTAAGCCACAGTCCGGCCTTCGTTCTCGCCGGTGTACGCGGGTGCCCACTGCCTCCCACCGTATTGCGGCATGACCCCTGCGGCCCCAACACTCTGGCGCGTGCAAAAAGAACACCCCCGTCGTACTGTCGAGTCGACTTCCCGGTGCACGTTTCATTTCTTTCATTTTTTTATATTTTTTTTCAGAATCGGACAACCTTGGCAGCACAGACTCCGAGGTGAAGAAGATCCTGTCGCTTCACCTGCCTATATCGGAGTACGACACGCTGGGTAGCGACACGGAAGGGAGCAGTCAGAAGCAAGAGATGGCGAGCTTCCGGCATCGAGTGCCTCGAGGGGCGCGGACCCCACGAGGGTCCGTGGTGCCATGTGAGTCCATCAGAGATCGATAGCGGCCAACGCGTGTTACTCTGCCAAATTTCGTCACTTACAACAGTGTCAAAATAAACATGTACATATTGTTTCGCCAGGTAAAGAGAGCAGTAGCTCATCGGACACGTCGCCGGTCGACACACGGAAACAGTTCCAGCCCCGCAAGTCCAAGAGCAAGAGCCAGCTGTCTGGAAAGCGACATGTTCGCTCCAGCTCGGGGTACTCGAGTCACACAGAGGAAACAACATTCAGGTAGTGCGTCGTGTCCCAGCACCTCCCCTCACAGGCTTATAACAGACAGAAAGAACTTTGACTTTGCCTCCACTCCCGCACCCCCCTCTTCCTTCCCCTCCCAATGCTTTTTCCACCCCCTCTTCAACCGGGGCGTGGAGGCCCCCACGCCCGCCGCGCCACGCTTCTGAGTCGTGTCCAACAGTTTCAGCGATCGCATCCAGCCACCGTCGCGGTTCTCCGATTCGCGCTCGCTCTCCAGGGACTTGTCGGAGACGGAGAACGACCAAAAGCGCAGACCGTCGCGGTCCTCTGTGCCCTCCCGCGCCAGTGGTTCGGCCAGCGCCGTGAGAGATCCATCGGCCTCGTTCCAGATTGATGTATAGCTAAGCGCATGAGGCAACGGGGCAGCGGGCTGCCCTTTCAGCCGTCAGCCAATTGTCTTCCCAAGTTTTGTATATTTTTGTTTTCTCGCCTTTGCCTATTGATACCTCTAATAATTGTTCTTCCATTGTGGATGCCAAATGTTTCGTTGTTTTTTTTTTTCGTTTTTTGTTGTGTTTTTGTTTTCTGCTGTGAAAAAGAAATGGCCTATGTTGGAAAAGTACTGAAACCTTGTACATTTTGCGGCCATTTGACATTGTGATATTTAAATTTTAGCAGTTGCTGATATCATACAGCCCCAGTGACTGAGCATGAGAGTGATGTGTTCTTCTCATGGACTGAGTCTTTTCATCTTTAATTGCATTATGCCTCCCAAATATAAGTTTGGAGCAAACGCAAAGTTTTTTATAATGTCAATTAATTTTTTAAAACATCATATCATATGTGTAGCTAGCCTTTTTATTCAAATTTGCTGTTCTTAATGGCACTGAATTTTAATTTTAATTTCATGGTCAAGATAAGTTGTTGCTGTGAATTGTTGACTTGAATTGCTATATAAATGTATGTATCTCAGACTCAAAACTGACACATTTGTCTACTGGGTACTGTGTGCTTTTGATAGATTGCTCACTATGGCAGCTCTGTGAAAAGTGCACAATATATCAAATGTTGCTTAACTGATTGCAGAAGTTTTCTGTCTCTCCTTGTTAAGTAAAGTATTATGTAAAGATCAGACTCTGCATATCAATGTCAACATATGATGTAAATATTGGGTATCTCTAATTGGATATGTGTGTAATTATAGAAGACAATATTTCAACTGTGCCTACAGTGTACATAGTTCGCTAAAGTAAAAATTTCTCTGAAAATGAAAATTTCTTTTTGACAAAAATATGTTAAAATCTCCCTTGCCTTTCTTTTTATTTTTATTAAAGAAAGCAATGAAGTTCTATTGAAACTTAACAATGACTATTATACTAAATAAAACATTGTGAATGGGGCAGAGAGCTTTCCCATTACAATTAGAGAAACTGTGAGGATAAGGAAGGTGTTTAAAGAAATAAAATAACCAAAGTTAACCATTCAGAGTTTTATTGTGCTTTCCATTAGGTGGGCGCGAGTCTCGTCACATCACGGGCAGACTATCTGCTGAAAGGGCATAATCTGTGCTGGCAGCTCAACTCACTAGACTAATCTTTACTGTGCGCCAACCTGACATGTTCTGGACCTTATGGGTGGTTCACTTCACCTGTCCGCTTATTTAGCAAAGGTAATATTTGTTCGCACCAAAAGGTGCTAATTATGGGAAATGGAAGAAAGTCATCGTCTGCTCGTCGGTTCCTGGTATACTGTACCGCATGCACGAGTGCGGGCGGGCTTGCCTATCGCCCCTGTCCACGGCGCCTAACGAGCCGAACGAGTAGGCAACCCGCCCGCACTCGTGCATGCGGTACAATATAACTATGGAAGTGCGCGGCGTGAATCAGCCACCTGGTATAATGTAAATTACCTCGTAAAGTCCCCGTCACGACAGACGCCTTAGAGAGGAGCCGTGGCCTACCTCGCAGGCGTCCAAGCGACAACTCGTGTCGCGGCGACAAGCGGTACACGTCCCTGTTCATGGACACAAAAATGTGGTCACAAATGGGGCAACATACGATGTCCGACGCCACCAGCCACACGCCCCTTTTGTAGTTAAACATTTGCAGCTACAGTCGACATGACCGCATGCCTCGCCGCATGCAGCTTCATCCGAACCAAAATTGTCGGCCCTAAGATCAACTCACGGGTGGGGCAAATTTTTCTTCGTCACTTTTTGTCTCCCGTTAGGCAGGACCGAGCTCAGACCTCGGCCCGGAGGAGCAAGCTGGTAGCCGAGCGTGTTAAAGCGTGGTCGTTGGCAGATCGTGCGGGTGGTCGGTAGTTCGAATCCCATCCGCGGTCATTTTTCCCTGCTCTGCTGGCCAAGTGTCTTCGGGCGTCGGTCACAGCTTAGATCAAGATGCCGCTGAAAGTAGTACTCTGTATTGTTCCGTCGCGGCCAAGTCGGTAGCGTCCGGACCCGGTATGAACCTGGTC